TGAGGTATGTCCTTTTATAATAAACCAGTGATCTAGTAAGTAACACGTTTCTCTGGGTTCTGTGAGCTGCCCTCGCAGATGAATCGAACCCAAGGAGGAGCCTCGGATCTATAGCTGGTGGTCCAAAGCGCAGGTGACAACCTGGACTTTTGATTGGCTTCTGATGTGGGGCAGGGGGTGGGAGGGGAGGGTAGTCTTGTAGGACTGAGCCCTTACTCTGTGGGACCTGACTGTCTCCTGGTAGACAGTGTCAGACTTGAGTTTGTTTGTTTGTTTTTTAAATATGTTTTTATTGATCTTTTTAGAAAGAGAGGAAGGGAGAGAGAGAGAGAGAAACATTGATGATCAGCTGCCTCTTGCTCACCCCTTACTGGGGATCGAGCCGAAAACCCAGGCATGTACCCTGACTGGGAATCGAACAGGCGACCTCTGGGTGCATGGGATGAAACTCAACCAGATGAGCCACACTGGCCGGGCAGACTTCAGTGTCAATTGTAGGACACCTAGCTGGTGACCCAGAATTGCTTGGTAAAGTGAGAGAACCCTACCCCACACATTGGAATTGGGTGCAGAGCCCAGTTACCCCCATTAGCCTGGAAAGTACAGCCTAGTTCCTTATACAAGACCCACAGTCAGGGCATTGATTGAGCTTGGCCTGGACCCTTCAGACTATAGGGAGAAATCCCTGGACATGCTCATGGTAGGGGTGGGGGGTGAGATACAGGAATGTCTCCATCAGTCTGGATGGGTTCAACTCACTGGCGAATTTCCCTTCGTCTCCAGGTGGACACTTTTGGAAGCCAGGGGGCTGACATTTCCCCACTGTGGACCTTGGGAGAATGAGAAAGAGTTTATATGCTGGACTAGTGTCCGGAAGTATTGCCCTCCCTCCCTCCTTGTTTTTGGGTCTCTTTCCCAGTCTCCTCCACGAGTTCTTCAAATTCCTTTCTGCCCAGGTCCACATTGTTATGAAAAATTCCCTTGAGCAAAAACAGGAAAAGATCTTTTGGTTTCGAAATCCCAGGAGAGGGAGGGAGGAGGAAAGGCTGAGAAACCTCAACGCCTGGCCACCTGGCTCGTCTTCCTCATTTAAGGTGTGGGCAGTCACAATCTCCAGCTCAGGTATGTCATTATTTTCTGTTCCACAGGAAGGATTTGGGCGGCCACCTCTCACTCTCTCTCTCTCCCTCAAAGCCCCAGCTGTCACCCAAGGCGGCTCGCTCTGGCACTGACAGCCTTGGAGACGTCACATCATCACAATTATATCAATAAGAGCAACAATACTAATGACATCTATCACTTAATAAGCACTCACGCAGTACCTGGTGTTCTTTCGAGTGCTATTCACGTATCAGCACTACTAGCCTTCCCAAGAACTCTCTGAAGCACATGCCATAAACAAAATAATAAAAAAATAAAAAAGTTTATTAGATAATGAACAAAATAAGCTGATAAACCAAATAGATCCAGAGACATAGAAGTGGGAACAGACTGGCGCACCTCAGAGTGAAGGTGGGTGGGGCCGGAAAGAGATCACCCAAAGAATTTATATGCATCTGTGCACCACCAATGGACACAGACAGGGGGTGGTGCAGGAGCGGGGAGGAGGGTGTCAGTGAGAGAAAAAGGAGGGACATCGGTAATGAATTAAATTAATTAATTAAAAAATAAAAAGAAAGTTCATGAATGTGTTTAGCTGGTTTTTAATCCTCCAATGGAGAGAGTTGAATTGGTGATCTGTACTCTACAAAAACCTTCTTGTTTTCCACATTTGATTCCCTTTTATCCCCATTCCCTTATTTACTTATTTATTTTTAATTGATTTAGAGAGAGAGGGGAAGGGAGAGAGCGAGACACTGATTTGTTGTTCCATGTGTTTATGCGTCCACTGGTTGACTCCTGTCTGTGCCCTGATCGGGGTTCACACCTGCACCCTTGGCCCCTCAAAACAATGCTCCAACCAACTGAACTACCCGGCCAGAACTGCTATTCTCTTTATCATTGTTTACCTTTGCCCATTATCTTTATTGAACACCCATGGCTATTTGTACTACTGTGTGCCTTTGCTGTTGTTACTGGAAAGGGGACCTGGCCCTGAGCGGGTCTGCCTAGGGCCGGGCCGGTAGTGTGTGGGTCCCTGACTTTATGCAGGAAAAGTTTCACAACACGAGTCCAGGTGAGTTTTAGAGGATATTTATTAAAGCCAGGGTGGGGGGGCACAGAGAAACAAGGAAGGGCTGAGGAAACCAGCCTAGCCTGGGCTGCTTTGGCTCACTGAGAAGTCAGAGACAAGGGGGCCTTGGGGACAGGTTCATGGGGTTTGCCTGGGATGGACTGCTGCTGCCTATTGCTGGCCTGGTTGCAGCCTTGTGGGAGCGGCTAGAGATGCTGCCTGTGGGGGAAGAAGGGGGTGGGGGGTGCCTGGGGGTCCTGCTGGGAAGAAGAGCACAAGCTGGGTCCTTTGTCTTGAGGCTTTTGTTTCTCTCTTGCAGACAGGAATGGGGGGGGCGGTCTCAGGGGGGGGGTGGAGTCAACAGAACATTCATCAGTTTCCTAGGTGTGCTCCTTCAGGGTCATTGATTGGTCAGTGTCAGGGCAGGGGGTCCTTAATCACTGCAGCTGGTCCTATCGGCAGCCACCTGGTTTTGCTGTTTTTCTGAGTCTGGTGCTGAAATACAACTGAGGCCTAGTTCTAGGGAGGTGACCTTCGGTATCCACTGTAAATTGATCTGTCAGTTTGTTCAGCTGCCTGCCTCAGTTTCCCTACTCCACTTGTCCTGGCTTACTGGCCTGGCTCGCTGTTTTTATGATTATGTATCCTCTGCTATTATTTCTGTTCTTGTAAAGCCTTGTTATTGTCTTTACTACTGTGTATCTTTTGTTATTGTATTTATTTTTGCGTAGCTTAAAAAAATTAAGATGAGCCCTTCCACTGAGGTTGAGGAAAATAAAGTAACCTCTGTTTTCTGCTAAAAAAGGAAGGAAGGAAGGAAGGAAGGAAGGAAGGAAGGAAGGAAGGAAGGAAGGAAGGAAGGAAGGAAGGAAGGAAAAAAGAAAGAAAAAAGAAGAAAGAAGAAGGAAAGAAAGAAAGAAAGAAAGAAAGAAAGAAGAAAGAAAGAAAGAAAGAAGAAAGAAAGAGAAAGAAAGAAAGAAAGAGAGAGAGTCCTGGCCAGGTAGCTCAGCTGGTTAGAGCATCCTCCTGATACACCAAAGTTACAGGTTCAATTCCCAGTCAGGGCGCATATAAGAATCAACCAATGGCCCTGACTACTGTGGTACAGTTGATTGAGCATCATCCTGTGCATCAAAGAGTTGCTGGTTCGATTCCCAGTCATGGCACAGGCCCAGATTGTAGGCTCGATCCCCGGTGAGGGACATGCAGGAGGCAGCCCATAGATGTTTTGCTCTCACATTGATGTTTCTTTCTCTCTCCCTTTCCTTTCCTCTTTCTCTGAAAATCGATTAAAAAACAATTTTCTAATAGAATTAACTAATACATGCATAAATATGTGGAACAACAAATTGATGTTTCTCTCAAATCAAGTTTAAAAAAGAAACACTTCAGAATGTCGAAAAAACACCATTAAAAAATTAATAGGAAAGTCACATATAAAAGTAACCATTCAACTTATATGCATATATGCAGAGCTCATAGACACAGACAATAGCGCAGTGAAGGGCTGGGGTAGGGCGGGGGCCGGGTGGAGGAGTGTAAAGGGGGGAGGTGTGTGGGAGACATTTGTAATACTCTCAACAATCAAAGTAAAATTTTAAAATAATAAATAAATAAATAAAAGTAACCATTCTGGGTGAACAGGTCCGTAGCATCTACATTTGCAATGTAGGTTTTATTAGTATATGTTATAACAAATTGCATATTGTTTTGTGTGCAATGTGTTCGGCCCAGACCATCCTATTAAAAATGGCAGCTAAATGCTTGCTGAGAACAATAAATAAATGCAACAATCTTAAACATTCAGCAAAGGGGTTGTTATTGACATCCAAAGGTAATATTTTATAGGGAACCATGCAAATAATAACAGTTAGCCCTCAACATTTACCCTGATAACAATGGTGTGAGGAAAAATGATGAGCTCTATTTTACAGAGGAGAAAAGACAGGCAGGAATTCTATGAATTGTTCAAAGTAGGGATTCCAGTGGCTTGAGCATTTGACCACTGCATTCTGGGATCATGGGCAAGAAAAAAAAAAGATGTAACCACATCAAGGGGCATTGAACAAGGGTTTCCGTGGAGGAGACAGATAGACAGGGTGTTTGGTGGACAGTAGTGTCCAGGTATGGAGACCTCCTTGGGATACTGAACCCCATCGCTCTAGATTCTAGAGTGCTATTGATCTCAAGTGGGCATAGGGATTAAGAGACAGGCACTGTTCCAGAGGCCAGATATTGACAGAATGGGGGATGTAGGTAGGGATGGAATGTCCAGAGCTAAAGTGAGAGTAAACCATTATGAGGAGATCCAATGTTAGCTGTGATGTCGTTCAGGAGGGCATAGCACAGAAAAGTGTGGTCACAAGATATTATTTGCAGAATGAAATGTCATGGGAGTCTAGAACCTTCTTGAGTACAAAATATAGAAGGATCTAGAATGTTGGCAATGAATGCGTATCTGAAGGGGAATAGAATGTTTCCAAGGATGGTGCATTTGCAGGACAAGGAATATGATTTGGATGGGCTGGAGGTACCTAAGCATTCCACAGATACAACATCGAGATGGTGATCTGGGTTTATGCTGACACAGTTGGGAGACCTGGAACGTGTCAGGGGACTGGGGTGTTTCAGGGGTACAACGTCAGGTAGACTGTGATGCTGGCAGGGACTGAGTGCTTTTGAAACGTGGAATGTCAGCTGGGATGGGACATTTTGAGAACATGGGTCACTGGTTCCAGTGAGACACTGGGAGGGTCAGAGAAGGGCTGGGCAAACTGAGTAAGGAGGGAACACTGGGAGGAAGGAGGTGGGGAAGTCAACCGGCGTTTTATTGTGGGCCCTTCGTCCATTTCTGCTCCTGAGTTGTCCATTTTTGGATTGTTTCTCGGATCCATGGAACATATTTAGAGACTCGGGTGTAGACGCCAGGCCGGTTGGGCTGCCCACATGGGAAGTCTCCCCAGGAGATGATACCGTGAAGCACACCGTTACAGACCAGGGGGCCTCCGGAGTCGCCCTGAGTCGGGGAGACAGAAAGGTGGGTTCCTTGCTGGAGCCAAACAAAGGCAGGGATGGGGACTTGTGGGGAGAGAGTGAAAGACTGAGAGAGACAGACACGGAGGCAGAGATAGAGACAGAGGAATATGGAGACACAGGGAGAGATGGCAACAGAGACCGTTTGAATCAGATAAGAAGACAAACACAGAGTGTCAGAAAATGAGAGACAGAAATAGAAAGCCAAGATAGACTTCTCTGTCTCTCTCTCTTTTTTGTTGTTCTTCTGTCTCATTAAAGTGGTGACACACCTGTTATCTCACACACCTGTTGGCCTTTCCCTCGCACCAAAACCCATCTGGTTCCCCTGCCTTCCTAACCTGTTCCCACTTTATGGTTTCTTCAGGCCATCTTACTATTGAGTTAACCCATCCACATCTGGGTAGGGCCTGTACACATGAGTGCTTCTTCTCCCCCTGGTCCCAGGACACACATTATCACTATTGATAAGGTCCTTGTCATTGATTCATTATCATACCCTTTCCCACTGAACCGAACCTCAACTTAACAGTCTCCTCTATTGGACGGAGGTTGTCATCTTGTCCATGCAGTATCCACTTGGACCTTATTTTGGTAACAACCTCCTGATTTTTTTTTTCATTCATTTGGAGAATGATCCCATCCCCACTCTCAATTTGTGTAGCCTGTCCCTGCCCCCCACTGCAAACTCCCCCCGGTTAGTGGTGTGACCCCCTGACTTGGAACATCAGAGAATCCCACAGCTCTGGCCAGAGCAATGGTTCTAGGACACATGACTTAAGTCAGCCTAGTGAGAGCCATGCTCAAGGTGTATGTGTGAGTCTTAAACACATTATTTTTGTACCTGGATCCATCTGTGCCTGAAGCAGGTCCCTCCAGGGTTTTTCACTTACAAAAGCCAGTGTTTTTTATTTAAGGCAGTTTGAGTTGGGTTTTTAGACCATTGCAACCCAAAGAATCCTAACTTTTATGCATGTCAACACCAGGACCTAGGCAGCGACTGTCATTCAAAGCTGAGGCTCGGGTTGAATTATATTTGCCACCCATGGGTACTCCCTTTTGTCTTGACCTTCTACAAAGACTGGTTCCCCAAAGGCTCAAAGCAAATCTGTCCCCACCTCTATGCTGGCTTCCCATCTGGCCCCGGGCAGCCCCCACCCCCAACCCCACGTGGTCTCACCTCACAGGAGTCTTTGCCGCCTTCCTGGGTGCCGGCACAAAGCATGTTGGGTGTGATCTTCCCCGGGTAGACTTGACGACACTCCTCATCTGAACGCAGCTGGATGTTGGCACACTGTAAGGTTTGTGGGAAACTCACTGGGGAGGAGAGAGAGAAAGGTCTGGGGATATCTGTCTTGGACAGGCTATGAGGTGGGAGCTCCCTAGGAAGGTGGGTGGAAGACAGAGATGGTGAGAGGGAATTGGAGATGGGGAAAAGGCAGGAGAGAGGGAAGAAACTGCAGGAGAGCAGGGAAAGAGAGAAGGGACATGCTGGGTAGAAAGATACGGAATTGCAGCTGGGCATGAGCTGGGAACCACACAGGGCTCTGCTGCTATGCATCAACTTTACATTTACATAGATATAATTTATACCCAAAGGATATAGCTGTTTCTATTTTATTATATGTAATAAAATATATCAAAATAGCATTTACCATATAAATTATATACTTATGTACTTATTTAAATATGTTTACTCATAATGTATAATTTATATATAAATGTATTTAAATAAATGCATATAGAATTATAATTTAGAAAATAAATCTAATTTTATAATTTACATATTGATATACAGATGTATAATGTATATTTTTATAAATATGCATAGAATATACTATAATTTCACATATTTATAAATTTATAGAGATATATAAGTGTATAGTACATGATCTATAACATTACATAACTTTATACATTATACGTTATATGTAATATATAGATGTAACTATATATTTTTTCTTGTCCATTTTTTCATTTGTTTCTTTTTTTTTTTTTTTATCCTCACCTGAGGACATTTTCCCATTTTTTTTGTTCAGGTAGAGTGGGAGGGAGAGAGAGGAACAGAGAGAAAGAGAGAAACATCGATGTGAAAGGAACACATCGAGTGGCTGCCAACCAGGGCCGGGGACAAACTGCAACCGAGGTACGTGCCCTTAGCAGGAACCGAACCCGGGTCTCTCAGGACCGCAGGTCGACGCTCTAACCGCTGAGCCAGACCGGCCAGGGCTCATTTGTTTCTTTATAGCTACATATATTTTTATTTGTTTTTATATATAAAGGAATCCTTGCCCTAGCTGGGTAGCTTAGTTGGTTAGAGCATCATCCTGATACACCAAGGTCTCGGGTTCAATTCCCGGTCAGGGCACATATAAAAAGCAACCAATGAATGTATACATAAGTGGAACAGGTTGATGTTTCTCTCTCTCTCTATAAATCAACAGATTAGAAAAAGTAATAAGTAAAGGAATCCTCCTCCAACCTATCTCCCATCTCTACCCCAGTTTCCCCAGCCACCCTGTGGGACCCCAGGCCACCTGTGCAGGTACATACCCTGGGGGCTGATAGTGGTGCCCCAGCCAGACACCCGACAGCAGGTGCCAGGGGGGAGGCAGTCATTGCGGGAGGGAGGCAGGATGCGGATATGGCTCGTGAGCTGGACTGGGGACTGCAGCTCCAGAAGCATAATATCGTGGTCATGGTTCAGGTGAGTGGGGCTGCTCCGGTACTGAGGGTGGGGAATAGAACGGACTACGTCCCTCACCTGCTGCCCAGCCTCTACATGCCCCAGGGCATGCTTGCCCAGGTGGACTCTGTATCCGCTGTGGATGCAGGAACAGGCTGGTTAGAGGAGGAGATGAGCCCCTCCCCAGCTCCAACTCTTCCCCATCTCCCCTTCCTCATCTCCAAACACATCTCCTTCCACATCAACTCTAATCCCATCCAAATCCTCTACTTCAAGTCCATTCCCATCCCGAACCCCTTATCTCCACCCTAACCTCATTCACACCCATTCCCGTCCCAACCTGAATGAACTCCCAACTCATCCTCAAATGCAACTCCACCCAGTCCCATTATTATCCCTAGCCCCTTCCCCTCTGGCCCTCACATACTTCTTCAGACAGTGTGCCGCAGTGAGGACCCATCTGGGGTGGATGAGGACCGCCCCACAGAGCAGCCGCCCCTGTACCAGCAGGGCTGCCTGCCAAGGTTGAGAGTGGGGAGGGCAGGTGTAACCACCTGGGAGAAACCCATTGGTCCCATTGGTGCCATTGATAATCTTGGGATGCTCCTGAGAGATGCCTGGTAAGGAAGAGAAAATGTTAGAGCACTGGGGTTCGGGCGGAGGAAGAGGCCTGGAGGTGTCGTTCCCGGGTTTGGGGAGAGGGTCAGAATTTGCTCTTGGTGACCAGGAACTGATGATTCATTTCTTGGGCTCTGGGAGTTGCCATTTTCTATGTAATGGAGATGAGTCAGAGAAAAGAGGTGACATCATCCTTTTCCATAGAAGTGTCGTACCCTCCACTGGGGACATGAAGGAAGAGTCCACCGAATGAGGATGCTTCTGATAAGCAGACGTCTGGCTTTCTCCCCACCTGCATGTTCTCTCTCATTCCACCATGGGGATGGGTTTCAAGAGGAAGAAATGAGATGGACCTCCACAACCACCTGTGCAGCATCCATCCATCCATCCATCCATCCATCCATCCATCCATCGGTCCATTCATCCATCCCTTCCTCCATCTGTCCAGCCACCCATCCCTCCATCCATCCATCTACCCCTTCATCCATTCCTCCATCCACCCACCTGTCCATCTATCCATCCTTCTATTCATCCATCCACCTATCTATCCATCTATTCTTCCATTTATCCATCTATCCATCCATCCATCCCCATCCATCCATCCATCCATCCATCCATCCATCCGTCTATCCATCCATTCTTCCATTTATCCACCCATCTGCCCATCCATCCATCCACCCTTCCATCCCTCCATTCATCCATCTATCCATTCACCTGTCCATCCATCCATCCTTCCATTTATCCATCTGTCTGCCATCCATCCATCCCTCTATCCCTCTGTTCATCCATCCATCCACCCATCCATCCATCTTTTAACCCCTATTTACTGGGTTCCTCTATGGCTTCAAATATCATCCATAGGCTAACTACTCCCACATTCAACGTTTGCAGGCCTCTGAATCATCCGACCTTTGCCAAGCTCCTTGCCTCCATCTCCCACCTGTCTCCTCTTCATTCTGTTTCAGTTTCCTCAGACAGACCAGACCCTTGGCGCTTGCTGCTTTCTCTCTCTCAACAGTTCTTTCTCCAGATCCACACTGTTCAAGATGTCCAGTGTGGCTATTTAAATTTAGATTCCCTGGACTGAAACTTAAAAATTCAGTTCTACAGCCACATTTGAAACACTCAATAGCTCCCAGTGGCCAGTGGCCCCCATATTGGACACTGTAGATATAGGATGGAGATAGACCTAGCAGTGTCTGGCACACAGTGAGTGTTCCACCAATGTCATGTGCCAGGAACTGTGTCTGGCACTGGAAGCCGGACAGTTGACAAGAGAACAAAGTCCTGCCCTGGCTGGTGTTGCCCAGTGGTTAGAAAGCCAGCCCACCAACCAAAGGGTTGCGGGTTTGATTCCTGGTCAAGGGCATGTACCTGGGTTGCATGTGGGAGGCAACCAATCGATGTGTCTCTCTCACATCGATGTCTCTCTCTCCCTCCCTCCCACTCTCTCTAAAAATCAATAGAAAAAAATGCCCTCAGGTGAGGATTAACAATAAAAATTTTTTAAAAAGAGAACCAAGAGCCCTGGCTGGTTTTGCTCAGTGGTTAGAGCGTCGGCCTGCGGTCCAGAGAGACCCAGATTTGGTTCCCGCTAAGGGCACGTACCTCGGTTGCAGTTTGTCCCCGGCCCTGGTTGGTCGTGCAGGTGGCAGCCACTCAATGTGTCCCTTTCACGTCGATGTTTCTCTCTCTCTCTCTGTTCCTCTCTCTCCCTCCTACTCTATCTGAACAAAAGTGGAAAAATATCCTCAGGTGAGGATAAAAAAAAAAAAGAGAACCAATAAAGTCCAATGGCGAATGTGCCGCCTTCTTTCTGGCTGGGTGATCCTGTCATAAGTTGCCAGTCTCCATCTTCTCAACTATAAAGTAGGGAAGGTAAGAGTTTCATCTCTCATGAGGCAGATGTAGGATTCAGTAAAATCCTGCATCTGAGACACACACAGCACTCAGTAAGTGGGCTCCATTGCTATTATTAGCTGCAACAGGAGGTCCCCAGCTCTGTGGCCAGCAAGTCCCTTGTCCACCGACATAAGCAGTGAGATAAGCCCAGTGGTTCTCAAAGTTGGGGACAGAAGTCATTGGTGGGCACAGGGTCGTTTTAGGTGGTACAGGAATGAGGCGTACGTAACATCAGATTGCATCCTCAGACACTGTATCACTATCCAGTTCTCTTCCAATTCTGATTTTATTGAAGAGAAAGTCTCACGATGGTGCCGATATGCCTTTCACACCTCTCAAATCCTCGCTGAACTCACTTAAAAAAAATGCATTCATTGATTTTTAGAGAGAGAGGAAGGGAGAGGGAGAGAGAGGGGAAAACATCAATGAGAAAGAAACATTGATAAGCTACCTCCTGCATGCCCCCTATTGGGGATAGAGCCCAAAACCCAGGCATATGCCCTGGCTGGGAATCGAACCTGGGATCACTCAGTGCCTGGGACAACACTCAACCAACTAAGCCACCAACTGGCCAGAGCTAGGCTCACTTTTTAAAACCCAAAGGGAGCAGAACACTTGCTCAGCCTGCAACCTAAAATGCATTAAGTTGAACCATCTGCAATCACTCTCTGGAGGAGATTGACAATTTCAGGTGGTCCAACCCAATAAACATGCCATTTTTGTTTCACTGTGCAGGATTTACTTCTTTTTCTCTTTTATTTATAGTAAAGAATGGGTTTTAAGTTTAAAACAGGTGACTCTAGCCCTGGCCAGTTTGGCTCAGCGGTTAGAGCGTCGGCCTGCGGTCTGGAGAGACCCGGGTTCGGTTCCCGCTAAGGGCACGTACTTCGGTTGCAGTTTGTCCCCGGCCCTGGTTGGTCATGCGGGTGGCAGCCACTCGATGTGTCCCTTCACATCGATGTTTCTCTCTCTCTCTCTTCCTCTCTCTCCCTCCCACTCTATCTGTACAAAAAATGGAAAAATATCCTCGGGTGAGGATAAAAAAATAAAAATAAATTTAAAACAGGTGACTCTAAGCAGACCACGAGGTCTAAGATAATGAAGATGGACTACCAGGAGGGCAAGTCCAGGATGCGGGAGGCGGGGCGGGCTGCACGGATTAGCATTCTGCAAGCACCACTGTGGTCTTTGGAGCTGGACTCTCCTGTCGGTCTTGGGTTTTTCAGCTGTGGAACTAGAGTAATTATAGTTCACGTACCTCGTACAGCTGTTGAGGATTCCACAAGCCAAAGCAAGGGAGCTCCTACCCCAGGGCGTGGCACCCAGGAGGGGCTGGGGACAGGGGCAGGAGTCCTGGGAGTGTTGCCAAAGGAGACAATCCACCCTACCTCCAGGCCAAGGGTGGTGCAGGGTGCCAGGTGCCCTCCCTCCATTGGGTGTCAGCTTAAGGGTCTAGTCCTTCGGGGTGGCCTTCCAGGCTGGGAGCTGCCACCCCTAGGCCCCTGGCCTGGCCCCTTGAAGCCATCCCCTCATATAACAATTGTAACTAATCATTAACTAATTATTTGGGTGATTGTTGTAATAAGATCTGCAGCTGAACCCGCTAGGCCCTGGGTGCTGAGAGAAGGAACTCTGTCTTTGCTTACGCAGCATCCAGCACACCCTCCTGGCATGCAGAGGTGTTTTGTTTTGTTTTTTTAAAAAAAATTACTACCGAATTTATAGGGGTGACATTGGTTAATAAAATTATATAGGTTTCAGGGGTCCATTCTATAACACGTCATCTGTATGAAAGAATGAATGAGTAAATGCATGATGCATGGATGGGGTTTCCAGCAAGCTTGTTGGCAAAGGCAGAGAAAGGGGGCTTCATGGGGGGACCAACCCCAGTGGAATCAGATAGATCTGGGGTCACCCCGAGGATGAAAGGAAGAACTGGACAGTTCTGAGAACCGACAGAGGTGACGACTGATAAAGTCGTAATGATGACGACCTTTCCACCACAGACAGGTGTTACCTCATTTTAATATTCACAACAAACCTCGGTGGAAAGGGCTTTGCCAACCAGGGTGGGCAGAAGGAGACTTACAGTTGGGAGTATTCTAAACACGAGTTCATTCTTGTTTTGCTACTTATTCATTGCTGTGTTCTTGTCCATAGGAACAACTGTAAACCTACTTTTGCCCACCCCTGTACGTTCCCATTTTACAGATGGAACCACCTAGGCGCAAAGAAGTGAAGTCGCTGAACAAAATAGACCCAGAGACCTAGAAGCAGGGTACAGACTAATAGACCTCAGAAGAGGGGGTGCGGGGGGAGGGAAGAGATAAACCACAGAACTTATATGCATGTATGCATAGCCAGTGGACATAGACAACAAAGCTGGGGACAGGGTGGGTGGGGGGAGATTGGAAGGAGGGTGTCAATGGGGGACAAAGGAGAAACATCAAAATAAATTAATAAAAATAATTTAAAAAATAATAATGAACTACTCGTTACCTCCAAAAAAAAAAAAGTGAAGTCCCTTGCTCAGAGTGGCAGCTCAGGATTTGAACCTGTGTCTCTGAGACTCCTCTCACTCAGGGGGGCCAGGAGTCCCTGACTGTAGGAAGGGCTGCTGTGGGAATATTCGAGGGGAGCGGGGGGAGGGGCTTTCCCGTGTAGAGTGAACCAGAAAAGGCGCTTCGTGGGGACAGTGGGCTGACCCCAGCCAGGAAACCAGGTCACTCAGGGATAAGCAGGAAGCTTTCGGGCCTGTCCCCGCGGGACCCTGCCCGGAGTGGGCGGGGGGCGGAGCTCGCGGCTTCCAGGCCCCCTCCCCGCGTCCGGACCCCTCCTACCATTGTCTGGGGTGGCCACCCCGCCTCCACCCCCGCGCATTCTTACCGCCTGACAGGGCCGTGGTCAGAAAGGCGATCACCGCGGCCAGGGGCCACATGGCGGCTCCCGGGTGAGAGGCAGGGCGAGTTGGGCCTGAGAAGTTGAGGAGAGGTGTTAAGGTCTGGCCCAAACCCCCATCTCTGCCCCCCTCACCTCTGCCCCCGAACTTCCCAGTTGTAAATCTCCCTTCACTCTGAGAACCCTGACCCAAGAATCTGCACCTCCTCCCCAAATTCACCCTGCGGGGGAGGGGGCGTGCACCCCCCTTGGGCCGTGGCTTTCTGCTCCTCAACCCAGGCAGCCAGCCCTGCCCTCCAGCAAGCGGGGCGCTGGGTGCTCTCTCCAGCCCCTCTCTCTGTCCCTTCTCCCCTCCCTGGTCCCAAACTGAGTTTCTCTTTCTGTGGCGTCAGCTCTCCATCTCTGCAGATTTCTATCTGTAACTGAGCCTCTGGTTCCCTCCGCCATCTCCCTAACTCAGCTGCACTCCCTTTTCCCTCCAACCTCCCCCCTCCTCCCCTCCAATGCTCCAGCCTCTGCCCCAGGTGCACCCTACCTGGGCGAGGGGCCCGGATGAAGAACTTCTGCAGCCTGATGCCTCTAACGTCAGCCCTGACCCATGCCTTTTAACCCCTGACGCCCTCCCCCTGCGCCCTCAGCATTTCCCGGTGACTGGCCTACCCCTCTCCACCACCAATGGCTCAGCAGGCTGTGCCAGGCACCCCCCAGCCTGGGCTTGGCCCTCTGCTTGAGGGTGGAGCTTTCGGGACAAGCTGAGACCCAGATTTGGCTCCTCCCAAGCCAGAGTTGAACCCACTGTGAACTCTGAAGCAGCAGGACCCACCTAGTAGGAAGGAGAAAGCCCATCACTTCCTTCCCCCAAACCACCCTAAATCCCCATGCCTCATCCTTGCAACATAACTCAGGCCCCAATCTCCACTCCAACCCTGTTCTAAATATACAACAGTTCCCAGAAGGCCATTTCTCACCCTATTCCCATCTCTCTGCCTAATTTCAACCATACCCCTGGTCCCCAGACTATCCCTCAAAGTCAGTGCCATCAACAGCTTTATCTCAAGTGTCTCTCTCAACATCAAATGCAACGCATCCAAATCCTAGTTCTTAACCTCATCTCCAGCCCCAACTCCGTCTCCAGCCTTTTTTCTCTGAAAAACACAGGGATGTCCAAATGTGTTCTACCGTTTATCCTTCCCACACCCACACCCAACCATCAGGCACAACAAGAGACTTCTTCAGGTAGGTGATTGAGAATCAATTCTTTGAAGTAGAATGGGGGCAGGGATTGGGCCTGGGAAAGCAATGTTTTGGATAAAGGGCCTTTCAGGAGCAGGGTCAGATGGGGTGAGGAAGTCCATGGGCATGGGGGTGGAGAGGGAAGCGGAAGGAGGAAGAGGGTGTTTTTGGGAATGAGTAGGAGTCTCCTGAACTGGAACTGGGTGGGGCTGTGAATTAATCCTAGGGGGTGGGGTGGAGAGGGCAGAATTAGGGATTAGGGAGAACAGAGGTGGGGTCAGAATTTGGAAGAAAGCCAGAGATGGGGGCCAGATGACATCTGGAGAGAGCAGTGGCGTCATAAAAATAAGGGGTTGAGCCAGATGGAGTGAGTGTTAACATCAAAACTGGTGTGGTCCATATTGGGGAAATTTAAGTTTGGATATAGGGATAAAATCTAGTGTTGAAATATTTTTAAAATGTGTCTGGCCGGTGTGGCTCAGTGGTTGAGCATTGACCCATGAACCAAGAGGTCGCCGGTTCGATTCCTGGTCAGGACACATGCCCAGGTTGTGGGCCCGATCCCTAGTAGGAGGCAGCCAATCGATGTTCTCCCTCATCAATGTTTCTATCTCTCTCTCCCTCTCATTTCCTCTCTCTGTAAAATCAGTAAAGGAAAAAACTTTTTTTAAATATTTTAAAAATGTTTATTGATTTTAGAGGAAGAGAGAGCGAGAGAGAGAAACATTGATTTGTTGTTCCACTTACTTATGCAATCATTGGTTCATTCTTGTATGTGCTCTGACCGGGGATTGAACCCACAACCTTGGTGCATCAAGACTATACCCTAACCAACTGAGCTACCTGGCCAGGGCTTAAAAGATAATTAAAAAAAAAAAAAGATCTAACCATGATTCTTCTACATATATAAAATGAATATATGTCTAAGATTTTATTTTGATTCATTAACAAGTGATAAAATATTCAAGATGTTACAAAGAATCCCACATATGTAGACAATAAAAAATGCTGAAATGAATTTATAAACAGATATAAAACTGTCTTATTCTACATGGTGGGGAGGGAAATTGTACTTCTACCTGACAAAGCTTATTTGTATGTTATGGGCAAGAATTATGTGTACTCTATCAGCTATCTATAATTTACAGAGTTGTAAAACAGCTCAAAGACAATAACAGAAGCAGAGACCCCCCTCTCCCCCAAATCTGTTGACCCATCTGGTTTTCCATCAGAGACACCTGTTGTGTCTATATCGACATCTCTCACAATTTTTCCGTACAGTAGGGTCAGGTTTAGGGTGGGTCTGATAACTGCACTGGGAACGCAAGTGAGTTTGGGGAGTAGAATGGACATGCAGTGAGGATGGGGTTGGAACTGGTTTAGGGGAAAGGACTCATTTGTGGTTGGGAGGAATCTGTCGATAAGATTGTTGATGGAGGGCTGTCGGGTTGGGGCCGGAGATGGTGCCAAGACTAAAGTTTTGGATGGAGAGGTGTTGAAATACAGTAGAGTTGGTGTTGTGGGTTGACACTGATAATGAAGACTAGACATGAGGTTGAGTGTATGTGTTGAGGTAGGGTTTTGATGGGAGTGGGCTGGGCCATAGCTGTAAACTCCTCTCGAGGTGCCGGAGAAGCAGCTTTCCTTCTGCACCCACCTCACAGGGCTGGAGTGGGAGTGGACACTGAGTTCATTCTTTTCCCACAGAGTTGGGTTCAGGCTGGGTGGCAAGAGGGAGGATGCCGGGTTAAATGAGGTGACAGGCTTGCGTGGGAAGTCAGGGTACCTGTGCCCTCTTGTGGCCTGGGTCCACACTTCCACAAAAGCCTTCCTTACTTGGGAAGGGCTGGAACCTGGAGTGGGGGTGGCTAGCTTTGGCATTGGCTGAGGGGTGAGGACGAGGTCAATGCTGATATTAGAGCTTATGATTGGCCAGGGCTTAGGTTGGCTGACTCTCGTTGAAGTGAGGTCATGGACCCACGGAGGGTTGAGCATGTGCCACCCCCTCACTTGACCAGTAAGGCACCCGGAGTCCATGGAGGGCAGTGGGCTGCTGAAAGTCACCCAACAGCTAGACCAAGTCCAGGTGTATTGTCTCACAGATTGGGGTCCTTCCCCCATCAGAGAGTATGGCTGGGGAAAGAAGGCCCAGAAAAGGAGACGGTATTCCTAGTAGTTGAGAGCTGAGACTCAAGTTCAAGTGACAAGGACACTCTGTGTCGTGGTGTCCCCGTTTGCACAATGGCATTATCAACAGCACCTACCCCCTAGAGGAGAGTTACATGAGTTAATGTTGGAAGGCGCTTACGTGCCTAATATGGACCCAGGGCCACCGATGTGCTTGTTAAATAGGTAAAGCTGGAGATGGAGGCAGCCTGAGGTTCCTGGAAGCCCCACCCGAGCTTGGCTTCAAAATGGGGTTCTTTGTGAAGCAGGAACTGGAAGTTCTGGTTGGAAGTGTTGGCTGGGACGAGAAAGTTGGCCCCACAACAAGGCCTAGAGGTGAGGCCCTGATACAAGAAAGGCAAAGGGAGAAATACACAGAGATAGACAGACAAAGTGGGTGGTAGAGGATGGGAAATGGAGAGAGAGAGAGAGAGAGAGAGAGAGAGAGATACAAAGACATAAGAGATAGAGAGGTGTCCCCAGAAAAACCAGACTTGAGATGCACAAGGAGTCGAGAGCCATGAATTAATTCTTTAAAAAAAAATTTTTTTTTTTTATCCTCGCCTGAGGACATTTTTGCATTCATCTTCAGATAGAGCTAGAGGGGAGAGGGAGGGAGAGAGAGAGAGAAACATTGATGTGAGAGAGACACATCGACTGGTTGCCACCCACACGACCCCAACTGGGGCCAGGGACAAACTGCAACCGAGGTACGTGCCCTTAGCGGGAACCAAACCCTGGTCTCTCCAGACCGTGGGCTGATGCTCTAACCGCTGAGCCAAACCAACCAGGGCGTCTCTCCTATTTCTAAAGTCTGCATCTCTGTCTAAAACAGACCCATCCACTTGTGCTCAGTATCCCGTCCCCTCTTGTCTTCATGAGGACATTATTCTAACTGGCTCTTTTCTTTTGTCTGCATCATTAATTTTTCCTCCACCAATGAGCTGTCCCATTAGCATAAAAACATGCTACGATTTCTCCTGTGTTCCATTAAAAGAAAAAAATTTGTTAGTCCTCATCCATGGATATTTTTTCCATTGATTTTTAGAGAGAGTGGAAGGGAAGGAGGGAAGGAGAGAAAGAGAAACATCGATGTGAGAGAGACACATCGATTGGTTGCCTCCCGCACATGTCCCAACTGGGGCCGGGAATCGAACCTGCAACCCAGGTACAAGCCCTTGACCAATAATCAAACCTGTTACCCTTCAATGCTTGGGCCGAGGTTCTAACCACCAAGCAACACTAGTCAGGGCTAAAAGAATTTTAAAAAACCTCTCTAACTGCCCTGGCCAATGTGGCTCAGTTGGTTGAGGCATATACCCAAGTTGGGGGTTTGATCCCCTGTTGGGGTGCATACAGGAGGCAACCAATCGATGTTTCTCTCTCACATTGATGTTTCTCTCTCTCCCCCTTCCTGTCTCTCTAAAATCAATTTTATTTATTTATTTTTTTCCATTTAGCATCAGATAGAGTCGGAGGGAGGGAGAGAGAGAGGGAGAAAGACAAACATCTATGTAAGAGAGACACATTGACCGGCTGCCTCTTGCACGACCTGACCAGGGCCAGGGATAAACCGCAACTGAGATACATGCCCTTGACCAGAATCAAACCCTCAACTCATTGGTCCTCCGGCCGACGCTT